CCCTTCATTTCCCTCTTACAATCTGGCTGGCTTGATACAAATAATAACACATGAAAGAGCAGGAGGCTTGGCTTCCTATATCTCTGTGTAGCAATCACAAACCAATAAAACAGAGCCAAAAGAGGAAAAACATAACCATTCTTCCAAAAATACCATATGCCTCTAGATGCAAAGGCCTAGAAAAGAGACCTAAGGATATTCAAATGTATGAAATGCTGCAATGTCAAAGATTTGAGATTTAATCACCCTTCTCCTTGTTCTTACAGAGCTCTCTCCTGCTGTTTGAAAGACACGTCACAGAAAAGCACTGACTGATGTGCTTTTTCACAGGCAACCATTTTTCAGCAAAGATACAATTGTTGTATTTATGAGAAAAGAACACCTTACTTTAGAAAGCTCTATCTCAAATCTCTGCGACAGCATCGTGGCTATAATTTCCAAATGCTCAGCCTTCTGCACTGGAAAGGTGGTATCTGGCAAGTACACAGAGCACTGACAGGTGCCTTTGTCATCCACAGAGCCGGACACATTGGTAAAGAGCTGCAATAACAAATAGGTAAGGAAAAAACTGTTAATATTCTTCTCTGGAATCAGTAGTTAATGTCTGACAATAATATGAGCTGTGACAATCAAGAGATCAACAATTTCATTAGTAGACATCTTTCACCATTTTCTTAAGGAACTCAAAATACCTAACAATTTTTATGACCCAGCCTTACAAATCTTTCTGCAAATAGTTAAATATGGCTGTAAAGATTTTACCCTTGGAAAAACAGAGGCATATAACAGTCCTTATTTTCCCAATCTTGTAGACAATGTTCCTGAGATACTGAAATAACTTTTCCAGCAGATAGAAAAGCACACAACAGCAGGAAAATAATAATTTAGTAAGTTAGGTCTTATAGTCACTCTTCTGTTAATCTGAGTTGATCAGATCATCTAGTCATTTCCATCCATAGAGATAAAAGTACCGAAATAGAACCAGTAACGGGGAAAGTTTTGAAAAGAAAAATGCCTCATTTGAAGTTTCTCAACCAGCCCCACCAAACAGACATATGCATTTAATTATACACCACTGAAAGATGATGAATTAAATTTTCAGGCTTAACCTAAGCTAGAGATACTTATTTTATTACAAAATATTGCATGTAACACCCACACATTACAGCCTATTCATCCATGTCTGTGGATAGTTTGCAAATATATTGCCATGCATTAGCATGAATTGCCTTGTCCTAGTTGTCTGCATGCTCAAAGCATCACCAATGGAGCAATGTGCATGGTGTATGCAAAGGTCAGGGTTGGCAATTCATGATCTTGTCATAATTTACAGCCAAAGCACATCATTTCCTACAAACAGTAGGCTGAATACTGAGTATGTTTGGAGCAGGTTTTTGGTTTGTACACAAAATGTTTCCCAGTTCATAAATCTACCACAAATTTATTAATATATTTGATGTTACTTTAAAATATTCTGGCACACACTTCAATGCAGCTGCATATTTTAAAGCTACAGACTTGCTTTTTTAAATACACTTCTTTCCATAATCTCTCCTCCTGCCTTGCAGAAATCCCAGTGTTATTCATGTGTTTTCTCTTTCTCTCTCCCTCTTAAAAATAAACAAGTAAACAACAAAACTATCTACTGAAAGCTGACATTTCAGCGCTTCTTCTCTTGATTTTTCACAGTGATTTCAACTAACTTCCTCCCTGCCAAACCAGCCCAGAACACGCAGTGATGGCTGGCAGCAAAGCTGTCTTGATCTGTGAGCCCAAGAAGAGAACAGCAGTAAGCAGGAAT